GGGGGAAAATGGGCGTGACCACCCGAGGGGGGCGTGGTTTGCGGGTGGGCGTGACTGGGTGCGGTCTGACTGCGGGGGCGGGGCGGAGCTTCGGCGTGGGAGGGGTCTGCGCTGTGGGCGGGGCCTGATGGAGGCGGGGCCTCCCGGGAAGGGAGGGTGCCGTCATGGCGATGTGGGGTTGTGCTTTGGCGTGGCCGCCAGCGTGGGCGAGTTGAGTGCAGTGCTGCGGCTGGGGCAGAGCAAAACCGCACAACTGCACGGGCTGGGCAGAGAGTGGGCACAGCAGCCGAGTGGTTTGGGACTCAACACGAACTGACGTGAGTTCTTGTGGCCCAGAAAGCCAGCAGCATCTTGGGCTGTCAGCAGGGGGGGCAGCAGGGAGATGGAGGTGCCTGTCCCCTCTGCTCTGCCGTGCTCCGCTCTGCTCTCCTTTCATGAGGCCCCATCCGCAGTACTGCATCCAGGGCGGGGGCCCCCGGCGCAGGAGGGATGCAGAGCTGTGGGAGCAGGTCCAGAGGACGCACAGGGACTGTCACAGAATCGTGTGAGTTGGAAGGGATCCTTAAAGGTCATCCGGTCCAACTCCCGTGCAGTGACCAGGGACACCCGCAACACCCATCAAGTGCTCAGAGCCCCCACTCTGACCTTGGATGGCTCCAGAGATGGGGTATCCACCACCTCTCTGGACTACCTGTGCCAGTGCCTCACCACCCTGAATATGAAAATCTTCCTTATATCCAATATAAATCTCCCTTCTTTCAGTTTGAAGCCATTTCTCCTGTCCTATCACTACAGAGTCTGTCCTCTCTTAGACACAGACAGGCCGCCCTCAGTTCTGCCTCAGCCTCCTCTTCCCCAGGCTGCACAGCCCCAGCTCTCAGCCCGTCCTCACAGGGAGCTGCTCCATCCTGACCATTCGTGCGGCCCTCCTCTGGACGCTCTCCAGCAGACCCCCGTCTCTGCTGTGCTGAGCACTCCAGCTGTGGACGCAGCGCTCCAGGTGCGGTGTCACAGCGCAGAGCAGAGGGGCAGGATCCCCTCCCTCGCCCCGCTGGCCGTGCTGCTTCGAGTCTTGCAGTGAGTTTCTTATCCATCAAACAGTCCACCCATCAAATCCATATCTTTCCAATTTGGAAAGAGGGTTGTTGTGGAGAACTGTAATGGAGATGGAATACCTCTTCTATGAAGAAAGGCTGAGGGAGCTGGGAGCTATGAAGAAAGGCTGGGGATGTTCAGCCTGCAGAAGAGAACGCCCCAGGGAGTCCTTATTGCAGCCTTCCAATGTTCATGAGTAGGGGAGTGACCAAACTTTTTCCATGGGCAGACAGTGATAAGAAAGAAGGAATGGCTTTAAACTAAAAGAGGAGGGATCCAGATTGGATGCTGGGGACATTTTTCATTGAGAAGGAGGTGAAGTGCTGCCACTTCTGCCCAGAGAGCTGTGGTGCCCCATGCCTGGACGTGCTCAAGACCAGGTTGGAATGGGGCCCTGGGCAGCCTGAGCTGGTGGAGGCAACCGGCCCGTGGCAGGGCGGTGTGGCACGGATGTGGCTCCCAGCTGACTCTTGGCCAGCACCAGCCTCCTGGTGCTTCTCCTTCTTGAAGAAAAAAGGGGAGCAGAGGGTGAGCGAAAAGCAGAACTGGGGATCAGCTGGTGGTCATAGGCAGAGCATTACTCTGGGAGCAGCTTCCAAGGCCTTGCAGAAATTGAGAGTTTAAAGGTGAAGAAGAAGGATCTGGCATAGGGATGTAAATGGTTAAATGGACCGACCCAATCCAGGAGGCTGGAATGGGGAAAATCACTGGGTGTGAAAGGGCTCTTTGTCCCAGCAGGAAGGGACGCCCAGAGACTGAGTGTTGGGGACGCACCCTGATAGGAAGTCTGGGCAGGCTTGTTTGCAGGATAGGGTGCTGCTCACAGGGAAAGGCTGTGGTTTTGACTTGCTCTTTTACAGCAAGACAAATCCATTTCAGGAAGGTGCTTTTACCTAAGACCACTCAACACAGTGATGTACTGTAGGGAAGCAAGGCAGACCCAAAGAAAAACTCCAATCCTTGCACAGGACAGGCTCTGCTAGGAGAGCAATATCTCCCTTCCAGCACATCCTGGGATGCCACAACCCACTCAGGAACAAGCACCAAGGCAAGGAATGGAGAGTCCCTGTGTGAAAGGTGCCTTTTGCGCATTGCCAGATGCAATTCAGAGTTGCAAATATGATTTGGAGACCATGAGGAGGGCAGGCAGCCAGCTGTACCTGGGTAGGAAAGAACTTGTGTCTCCACCTTTCTTCTGTGAGCCAGGAGGCACAGCAAATAAAGGAAAGTGGATGGGAAAGCTCTCCCTGTTGCTTGCTAGGTTGATGGCTTAGCCCAGCAAGGGGTCAGCATGAATTATGCTTCCTGGCCACATAAGGCTATGCTGTCAAAGGGATATCCGCCAAACAGCGTGAGACAGCTGGGCTCCATGCAAGCCACAGGGGGCCCAAAGCAGAGGGCGGGACTGGATGATGGCTTTGGGCATCCCCAGGGAGTCCACCCCCATTTGGTGGCAGCGATGAGATACATCCTGCTGCTCTTCTCTTTGTGTTGGAGAAATTACAACAGAGTGGGAGGAAACTTCCTGAACGCTCTGGGAATTGGTTGCCTGCTGTATTAATACTTGCTAGTTTATATAGCTGTCCCTTAGGCAGGCGTTCAGCATCTGGTAGTAGAAAATGCGAGTGGTACAGATACTGAGCTGGGTGAGACACTGGAAGGTAGTAGTGTGTGTATGTGTGTAGTCATGCACTTGTACACGTGCCCGTGTGGCACTGTTTGCATGGGTCATGAAGTAGAGTCAATAGGAGAGAGCCAAGGATCCTGTGGCTTCCCCAAGTGCCAGGCAGATAATGTACTGGGGTGGAAGGGGACAGGCTGGTGACATATCTCTGTCACTGTGTGCTTGAGGAGGATGCTAAGTTTGGATTACCCTTGAGACTGAGGTTTCCTGTGCATCCTAAGGAACTCCTATCACTCCCATCCAAACTGCTCCTGCCACATCACAAGGTCCCTGCAGAGGTCTCAATGCCCATTCCCACCCACAAGGACCATTCACACCCATCCTTCTTGTTAAACTGCTTTAATATTTGGACATGAAGACAGGACAAAGCCATTCAGGCTGTGCACAGACAAGACGCCCCCGAGCCATGGTGCAAGGCTGCAGGGTTTCCCTTCTCAATGGATGTGTGGATTTGGCCAAAATGCAGTTCAGCTGGTGACGTCCTGAGCGTGCCAGTGGGGTGCACGTGTGGGATAGGGAAGGGGGATGAGGGCTCCCCAGGCAGCTCAGAGGTTGTTTAGCTCCAGCAAGGTCTGGTCCAGGACCTGGTGTATCCCCACATTCTCCTCTTTGGCACTGGCCAGACTCTCTGTGAACACAAGGGACACCCAGCCACACAGCAAGATGCACACGCAGACACAGCACAAGCATATCCAGGCACAGCCAGACCCACGCACACCACACCAAGCACAAACACACGCACACAGAAGACATCTCAGTGTGGTGCCAGCAGGGATGTGCCCCGACCCTCTGGGACCCCCAGGGACAGGTGGTCCATGCTCTTTATCTTCTCCATCCTCCCACAGTGCCCAGTTGCCCATGGACAGCCCTTCTGTGGCATGGGCACTGCTGACAGGTACTACTCCAGCCAGCCATCATCACATCCCCATCTCCCCATCCTGCCATCACCACCAGCCACAATGGGCACGTGCACAAACCCTTGGCTGCAAAAGAGGAGAGCCAGCGCCTGCTGCACGAGCCACGTGCTCCGTGAAGAAGAGGAGTGAGACAGCAGCCCAGAAAGTCAGGCGGAGAAGACAGCAGAGAAGGAGCAGAACTAATGAGGCTGCAGGGATGAGCTCACTGCTGGGGCAGCCTCCTTCAACGCTCGCTTGCAGATGGTATCCTCCTTCCGTGAGAGGTGGGGATGGGGCAAGGGTTCTGCCCACTCTGCTGCAAGGGCATCCTGCTGTGAGGGCATCCCCCTGCTCAGTTTAGGGTGACCAGAGGGATAGGAAAGAGTTGGCTGCCTGGGGAAGGGGAGGAAGGCAGATACACAAGGCACTGTGTCCCTCCCCAGTGGGGCCAGGCTGATGCCAGGGGACAGCCACCATCTGACGGACATTCTGGGACATGGCAAAAGCTCTCATCCCTCCCCCAGGATAATCCCATCAGCTCCACAGGGCTTTCCCATACCACTGAGCAGGGCAGTCACCCAAGGGGGGAGCGGGCAGGGCTCACAGCCTCAAGCCAGCCTGGTCAAAATGGGGTGGGAAACAGCTGGGGCTGGGGGCATCCCAGGGGCTGGGGCAGGAGCTGTCGCAGCTCAGTTGTTAAGTTCGGTAAGGATGACCCGCAGCTCGTTAGTGAGAACCCGGTTTTTCTCGGCCTCCTGCCGGGAGCGCTCTAGAGAAAACAGAGACATCAGCGCAGCAGTGGGAAGAGAAAGAGAAAGGAGAGTTAGCAAAGGGACAGCACTGCCCACGAGAGCCTTCACTGGGCACCCCATGGCTGCTTGGGGGGCAGTAGGGGAAGCAGGAGGAGGAGGCAGCCAGTCATAGGGCTGCTGGTCCATCAATTCCATGGCTGTGGGGTAGGGTGGAATGCTCAGGGAGGACTGGGACCAGAAATCACCACGGACAGCCCCTGCGGCCAGGGAGGGTGGTGGAGGACAGATGCCAGTCAGTGCTGAGAGGATGTTGTGATGTCTGGGAGCACAGATGAGGAATGGACAGACCAGGTCTAGCCCTATGAATTTAGGCTGAAAGAGTCACGGAGGTGGGGTCTGGAAAGTGGCACAAAATGAGGAAAGCTGTGTCCGAGAGCCAAGGGTGGTGGGGACACAGCTGTGCTGGGGTCCCTGAGACCACCCCCGGCTGCCGGCACCTGCATGAGATGGCAGGAAATGAAGGATGAGCGTGGAGAACCAGAGCAGCATGACGAAAACAAAGGAGAAACCAAGGAGAGAAAACGCTTTATTGAGACCAACTCAGTAACCCAGAGGGACAGAACAGAAAAGAAAAAGTCATGAAATGCAAAATGCAAACTGAAAAGCAATGTGCAAAGGACAGAGGCAAGGCAGGGAGGGGAGCGCGGGTGGTGGGGGTGTCTGCCTGGGACCAGGACCACCCCCCTCCATCCCATATCCCCCCTGGCATGCAGCACCGGGATGGCTGTGCTGGAGGGGCAAGTCCCTAGTGCTTGTGCTGCTGGGGGGAAATGCGGGACACAAGGCCCCTGGGCATAGCTCCATCCTCCCACATCCCCGTGGGGTGTGGGGTCCCGGGGATGCACCCCTTCCCCTTTAACACCCCATAGCGCCTACACCTCATCTTGTGGGAACACAGAATTAATAGAATCACAGCATGGCTGGGGTTGGAAGAGAACTTAAAGAAGAGGGTTGGAAGAGACCCTGCCATGGGCAGGGGTGGCACCGGCTATGAATACCCCAGGCCAACTCCTGTTGACCAGTGGCCATGGGCCAGGAAGGACAGAGAGGGGACAGAGTAGGGACAGAGTGGGCAGTAGGAGTGGAGAGGGTGCCGGGCAGGCAAAATGGCAGAGCTGGGGGGGGAGGAAGGCAGGCAGGGGTGCAGTGCTGGTGCCCAGTGTGGGGTTCAGAGGGAGGTGATGTCATTAAGCGCATTGTCCAGCTCCTCGCTGATGGCTTTGTACTTCATCTTCTGTGCATATACTTCGTCTGCAGGTGGGGGGAGTGGGGAGCAGGTGGTGGAGCAGGGAGGGAGTGAGTGGCAGAGAGAGAGAGAGTGGCGGTGAGCAGGAGGCAAGGGTGGTGGGAGCGTGCAGGTACGGCACCGGGCACAAGGCAGTGTGGATGAGGCCATATTTCCCATGTGGGACTCCAGCACCTCCACAGCATCCCAGCTTCCCCCCTCCCATCACCCATGCCCACCCCCAGCACAAGGAGACCCCATCCCTGCCTGCCCATGAAAGAGGGACACACGGCAGCGAGGACCCTTTTACCTTCTAAGTCATCAATGGTTTTCTCCAGCTTTGCCACAGACCGCTCAGCAAATTCTGCCCTGGTCTCAGCCTGCAGGAACACAGCAAGAACAGTGAGCGTGATGGGAATGCCCTTAAGTCCACACCCCAAACATGCTCTGTTCCCCAAAACTGTCCCATTTGCTGCACCTGGGCTGGTGACCATCTCAATTTGCCTCCAAGGCAGAGGGGTGAGATGTTATTTTGCTGCTGCCAGTGCATGTCCCAGGAGCAGAGCATCGTGCATCCAAGAGCCTTACCTCCTTCAGTTTCTCCCCTAGAAGCTTGATTTCCTCCTCATACTTGTCCTCCTTGGTGGAATACTGCAGGGACAGAGAGGATCTCAGCTCCAGAGGACACCTCCAGTTCTTCACCCCAATCAGGGACCCTCCTCCCCTCAACCCTGCACACTCTGCCCAGCCCCAGAAGCCCCACTAGGTCATACCTTGTCAGCCTGGGCCTCCAGAGACTTCAAGTTGTTGGTGACAATTTTCAGCTCCTCCTCTAGGTCACCACATTTACTACATCCCAAGCAGGGGCCACCAGGCAGGGGAGGGGGTGGTGAAGGGGAGAAGGGGGGAGCGGAAGGAGCATGGGGAAGGAGGAAAGGAGAGAGAACAAGTTGAGAGAGGAGAAAACTCAGAGTGGAGGAGCAGCAGAGCCACTGGGCACATATCCCTTCCTCGCATGTCACTGCTGTACTCCTGCATCCATCTGAGGAGGAGGAGAGTGGACATGGAGGAGCATGTGCTGCCCACAGAGGGACAGGTGAGGTGAGGGCTGTGGCAGCAGTGCAGAGAGGAGAGAAGTGGCTGGCGTGGCTCAAGAGACAGCGATAGAGAGAGGGGGGCTGCTGCATCTTGCCCCACACCCCTGCCCCAGTACCTCTTCCTCTGAGGCAATGAGGGATTTGAGGCTCTGGTCCATGGTCCGCAGCTCCTCCTCCAGCTGTCTCACTCGACTGGGGTAGAAAAGGGGCACCCACAGATTGGGGCCAGCAGAGAGCAGGTCAAGGATGTGCCGGGGGCCAGCATCGCTCCTCCCTCCTCCCACCTAATGGGTGACTGGGATGGAGATCCCTGTCCCCATGTCGACACACGGACATGTCCGCAGCTCCCATGGGCAAGAGAATGGGACAGGGGTGGTATGAGAGCCTCATGTGCCTGAAGCCCTGCTCACCTCTCCGCCACCTCTGCCCGCTCCTCCGAGCGCTCCAGCTCTCCCTCAAGGACCACCAGCTTGCGGGCCACCTGTTGGGGACATCCAGAGGAACATGTCAGGTTGGATATTAGGAAAAATGTCTTCTCAGAGTGGTGATTCACTGGCACAGGCTGACCAAGGAGATGGTGGAGTCACCGTCCCTGAAGGTGTTCAAGAACCATGGGAAGTGGTTAGTGGGCTTGGTGGGAATGGTTCGGGGTTGGATTGGATGATCTTAGAGGTCTTCTCCAAACTTCATGATTCTAGGAGGCTATGTCAAATGCAGACTAGGAAGCAGGGCTGCAGGGCACTGCCTTTGATGAAACCAGGGATCAGGGGACACAGGTGGTGGCACACACCTCCTCATATTTGCGGTCGGCCTCTTCCGCTATGTGCTTGGCCTCCTTCAGCTGCATTTCCTGGAGTTCCATTTTCTCCTCATCCTTCATGGCCCTGTTTTCAATGACCTTCATGCCTCTGAGGAAAGTCAGAACAAGTAGGTTAGGAAGAATTTATTCATGGAGAGGGTGGCCAAGGATTGGGCTGCCCAGGGAGGTTGGTGGAGTCCCCATCCCTGGAAGTGTTTAAGAGATGTGAGGACTTGGCACTGAGGGATATGGATTAACGACGGATCTCAGTAGGTTGGGTTGGTGATTGGGCTAGATGATCCTGAAGATCTTTTCCAGACCACACGATTCTGTGATTCTATGAGGTTATGGCTGTAGGTGGAGGTGGTACCTGCATCTCCTTCCTGCCCGCTGTACTCTGATGTGTCCATCCTCACGCTCCAGAGACACAGTGCATTGCCAAGGAACACAGGCACCCTGTGCAGTAGGGTCACATCAGCAGTACCCTGGGGATGCACAGCTGAACCAGCAGAGATGCCCCATGGCAATCCAGGAGATGTGCCTCTCAGCCAGGCAGGTCAAAGTGATCTTTGCCAGTGGAGGCAAACGGCCAGCTGCAAATTGTTCATTGCCACCTACCCAGAAGGCATTGACATGTCTGCCCTCACTTGCATGGCTCCTGCACAGGAAATGTGTGTGCTGAAAGCAGGTACTTCACCAGAGGGTGAGCAATGCCCCGTGTGTGTTCTGCAGCCCTCTTCAGGATGCTACTGCTTCATTCCCAGGGGCCAACCTCAGCTCCTGGGCTACTGCTCAATCCTCAGAATCACAGAATCACAGAATGGCCAGGGTTGGAAGGGACCCTAAGGATCATGAATCTCCAACCCCCCTGCCAAATGCAGGGCCACCAACCTTCCCATGGGGCACAAAACCAGTTCTGAGAGAACCCTCTGGCTCCAGGCACAGCTTAATAATTTGTACAGGCATCAGATCAAATTGTTAGGGATTTAATGTGTGCCCTGAACATTTCAAAGCGTGCCACAAATGCCTGTAGCAAAGGGAGCTGTGTTGTGCTCCCTCCCTACAGAAAAAACAATGCAAACTCCCATGGGGTCAACTCAAGGGCTCCCCAAGCCCTGCTGCAAAGCCAAGGGATTGTCTGCTATCATGGACAACCCAAAGCTAACCCCTGTTGTCCGCCACTCCCCCCCCACCCAGTCACACCTCTCGCTCTCATCTGCCGCCTTCTCAGCCTCTTCCAGCTTCTGCAGGGCGGTGGCCAGGCGCTCCTGGGCCCGGTCCAGCTCCTCCTCCACCAGCTGGATGCGGCGGTTCAGAGAAGCCACCTCAGCCTCAGCCTGTGGAGCAGAAACCTCTTGGTCACCACATGGCACACAGACATGTATGTAGCACTGTCAGGAGTTATTTTAGCTGGGACACCCCTTTGCACTCTGCACCAATCACTTCTGACCCACTCTGACACTTTGCAGCCCCATCACTCTCCGCAATTACATGGTGTTCCTCCATCCCTAACATTGTGCTTGATGCCAGCTGCTCCTTAACATGTGTGCACTGTGCCCAAACCCAATTCTCGCACCCCCTGCCCAGGAGACAGAAGAAATGCTCTCAATGGGTACTCAGGGCTGTGCCTTCCCCAGGCCAGCATTGGGGTTTTGCAGAGCAGTGAGTAAAGGAGGAGGAATGCCTTGAGCTGATCCGCTCCCGAAAAGGATACGGGAGCCACTTGTCGATTTCCTGTTTACGGAGGCAGTGTAGCAAACCGGCCCCATAGAGCCGAGCCCCCTCTTGGGGTCACGCGGAGTCCCCCCGCACTGCACAGCCGACTCACACAGCCCGGCCGCGGGGCGATGAAGCGAGCTGCCCTCGGACCAATGGCGCCCGGCCAACCTCGCACCGCAGGGGCCGGAGGGAGCGGGGCCCCCCGCGTTCCCATGCTCCCCTTGCGCCGACGGGGCGGGCAGCCAGAGCCGGCCGGGAGCGGTGGCTCTGGCCCCCCGCCAGCCCCCGGTCGCCTGGCCCCGTTCTCTTTCCATTCTCTAAAGCTTCCCTGCTCCATCACAGCTGGGAAACGCTGCCTCAGCAGCTCCCGACCCCGCGGTGGGGACAAAAAACCCAAAACTCAAAGGGATGGGCTGCGGTGGGAGCGCCCTGCTTCATCGCCGGTACGTGGGGCAGAACGAGCGGGGATGCCCGAAACAGAGGTCCCGGTCATATGTTCAGCCTCACCTCGGCGTGAGCTTTTTCCCAGGGAATGACCCCCGAAGTGGGTCAGCGCTGCCCGAATGGGCGCTCGGGAACATGAGCTGCTGAGAGGGGAACCCGATCTGCGGCTGCAGGAAAGGGCCGCTTCCTCTGCCCGCGACAACGGCGCGGGTACCGCACCCAGCTCTGCCGGCCCCGATAGCGGGTGGATGCGGGAGCCGGGGGAGGGCAGCGGAAAAAGAGACAAAAAACCTCCCCACAACAACAGCACGAAGCCAAACCGGGAACGACCCGCAGCCTGTAAAAGCCACAGAGCGGAAACATTGGCCTGTGCCAGCGCGTAAGGATGGTTTATCCCTACGACGGGGTGCAGAGGGCTCTGCGGCCGCTCCCGAACCAGGCAGCAGCCGCTCGGGCGTGGGGAGCTGGGCCGCGATGTGGGGCCGTTCCCGAGCTGAGCAACCCCGCGAGGCCCCGGCAGCGGGGAGCTGCCCGCAGCCCCCGCCCCGCACCGGCACCCGCGGGGGGCTCACCAACGCCCACCGGGACGCGCGGCCCAGCAGCTCGCCCGTGCCCCTCGCTCCCCGGTGCGCGGCCCCGAGGGGCGGCGCCGCCCAGTCTAGGGGTCGCGAGGTGCCCCCAGGAGCCTTACCCGCTCCCGGGCCTGCCGCTCGGCATCGGCCTCCCGCTGCAGGTGCTCGGCGCGTTCCTCCGCCTCGTCGGCCACCTGCTGCAGGCTCTGGATCTTCTTCTTGACGGCGTCGATGGAGCTGATGCCGGCCATGGCCGTGCGGCCGGCGGGGAGCGCAGCGAGGCCGCTCCGCTGAGCCCTTTGTGGGATCCGCCTGGCTCGGGCAGGAAGCGCTCAGGCGGCGGCCGCTCCCGCCCTGCCTCCATCCCTTCCTGCTCCTCCTCCTCCTCCTCCTCCTGCCGCACACCGACCCGCTCCCGCTGCGCTCCCTGCGCTGAGCGCGTGTCGCCCCCGATAAGGCGCATGGCTGCGCCATGGAGGGCACACTGTGCCCCCCCGCATTAGGGACGCAGCTCCCCCAAAGCAGGGCACAGAGTGCATGCCCCAGCCGAGCCTCCGCAGGCAGAGGGGTGCTTGTTTTCCTGGGAGGAAAAGGGGCAGCAGAGGCTGTGAGCCCCTCTGCGTAGAGTGTATCCAGGGGTGCTCCCCAGAATCTCCACACATCTGCTACAGTGACGGGAGGCACGGACTTTTGTCCCACAGGTGAAGCAATGAGAGGGATGGGGATGCTCTTGGGCATCCCCTGGGTACAGTCCTTGGCCACACAAAGGCCCCCAGGGCTGATGCTCCAGGGTACAGGCATATCCAGCTCTGCACCCCAGCCACAGCACATGCTTGGGTCCGTCAGAAGGGCAAGGTGTGGTGGCATTCAGTCCTCCATCAAGGAGCTCTGTGAGCTGCCGGGCAGCCCCAGCCACACTTTATGCCTGCTTCCAGGGATGCCATTTCCCAGGATCTGGGGCTTCCCTGGAGAGGCAGCATCTGGCCATGCCCCCGCAGCACCGAGTCCCAAGCCAGATGGCAGCAGTGTGGCAGCACATGGCTTTGGGCTTGGCCCTAGTCCCAGCCTCATGCTTGGGCACAGATCAGGGCATGGGGTGCAGGGCAGAAGGGGAGTCTCAAGAGTAAAGGGAGCAGGCTGGGGGCAGGCACCCTGGTCCCATATCGGCCAGAGCAGGGTGCCTCCTGCTCTGGCCCCACCCAGGGATGCAGTCACTTCCCAGCAGCGCCCGTTCCCTCCCACCGGCTCAGGGAATCACCAAATAAGAGCAAAGTCTCAGCTTGGGAGAGTGCTGGGGCGGGAACTTGGGTGAAGCCTTGTGGGACCGTGGCCTGTGATCGTGGCCTGGGAACAGCAGAATGTGCGTGTCCCTGTGCTCGCAGTTCGCTGGGACAGGCCGGTGGCCAGAGACAACACAGGGCTGGAGGGGGACGTACCCTGCTCCAACCACCACGCTGTCCTCACGGGATGTCTCTTTGGGAGACAAGGAGGGAATGGGGCTGCAGTGGCCTTGCTCCGCACTGCCAGCACTCTGATAATCAGTGGCTACGAGAGCAGCCTGTCCCCAAGCCCTGTGTCTGGGGCATCCTGCACCCAGCTCACCCCCATCCTGCATGAACCTGCTCAGAGCAGCACAGAACCACACACAGCACAGTTGCCCTCTGGACAAGATAAACAAACTCTTCCAGGGAATTCCCACTGCTTTGACAACTTGGTCAGCCTTAAGGCAGCCTGACTTTGGGCAGCCTTAAGGGTTGGGAATCGATGACAGAACCTTTCTCAGGACAAACTTGTAAAACCTCCCTACAAACGCAGCCTGGCACTGGGGCCACTGGCATCCAATGAGGCTCACTGCCTGCTCTGCCCACATCCCTGACCCGGCAACCCCTGTTCCCCTGTAGGCTGGGGTCCCAGTAGGGGACATGGGCACCTCCAAGGACTTTGCTGTCGTTGTCTGTCCTCATCTGCTCTCCCTTGTCCTTGGCGGCCACCTTGGACTTTTGACGCATCTCCCCCATTTAGCTCCATAAACCCGCCAGGATTGAATTTTTGTTCTCAATCCTAAAAAGCCTGGCCATGCCCCTGCTGGCCATGCTCCAGACAGTTCCCCTTTAGCTTCTCCTCCAGTTTCCAGGGTTGGTTTTCATCAGAGAAGGACTGGCTATCAAAAGGAGCATTTATTTATAGGGTGCCAAATACCCCGTGTGGCACTGCGGGTTGTTATACCCAGTTCCTAAACAGGCTCAAGACACGCACAGCTGTTCCACCCTTCATCTCAGCCAGGCGCAAGCCAATTTCAACACCTTCCTAACATCTCCCCACTGGGATCCATTTCCCAGGAGTAGCATCAGTCATGGCCCTAAATAAAACTCTTCCCAGCCTTTCCCTTCTCAGGGTACAGGGTGGCACGTTGAACCCCTAAAGGGCTGTCCCCATGCTCCCTGAGCATCCTTCCCAACCAGCGCTCAGTGCGGGCAAGAGTTTTCCTATTTCTCAGTTTCTTTTCCCATTTTTTTCTAACACGTTTTAGCAACTATTTCCAAGTTTTCCCTACATGTGCATGTCGGCGCAGTGGGGATGCTCATCCCTATGAGCTCTAGGGCACTGGGCCAAGTGATGCCCCAGTACCCTGGCACCTATATGGCATCCACAGCCAGAACGGGTCCGACACCCTTCCCACCAAGGCTGACCATATAAGGTTCCCCTCTTCCTTCACCCCCCCGGGGTCCAGTGCCTGCTTAGGGGAGGGGTTGCCTACGTACGTCCGTGGCTTTCTTCTCCGCCTGCTCCAGCTTCTCCTGGGCCTCCTTGACAGATTCAGAGTATTTCTCCACCTCATCTTCTGTGCCCTTCAGCTTCTTCTGCAGGCCCTGCTGTTCCTCCTCCAGCTGGGGAAGGGATAGAGCACGGGTGTCATGGGTGGTCACCCTGGAACACCCACCCAGCAAGAGGCAGCCATCCTCACCTTGCAGTGACCGAAGTCCATTTGGGGGCCCCAGGACTTCAGGGCTGGGGACAGGAGAAGTCCTGACATGAAGACACAGCTTTAGGGCACTGGGAAGGTCCCTGTCCATATGGCTGTGGTGGGAGTGCGTTGTCCCCCAGGACCCCGTGCAGAGGGGTAGGGAAGTGGCAATAGGGGGTCCCAGCAAGACATAGTGAGTTTGGGGATACTGAGGTCAGAAACAACAGGCATTGGTCCCCATGGTTGGACAGTCCCAGATTGGAGATCCCTAAGGTTGGACACCCAGCAGGACTACTTCCCTAAGACTGGCTATCTCCAAACTGGGGATCCCAGAGGTTAGAAACCCCTGAATGGTGGATCCTCAAGATTGGACACCCAGCAGGACAAGGTCCCAAAGGTTGGACAACCCTGGGATGGGGGGGTTCCCACGTTGGACACCCATTAGGACAAGGACTCCGGGGCCAGACATCCCTAGACTGCGGGTCCTCAAGGGTTGTACACCCCTATAATGGGGGTGGCCAAGATCGAACACCCAGAGAAGCGGGATCCTCAGGGCCAGATCCCTTTAGGGCCGGGATTCCCAGCGCTTTTTTGGGGAAGGCTATGGGACACTCACCTGCTTGCAGCGATCCTCTGCCTGCTTCTTGTCAGCCTCTGCCTGCTCGGCACGGTCGATGGCATTCTCCTTGTCCAGTTTGAGCATCTGCATCTTCTTCTTGATGGCCTCCATGGTGGCGGTGGGGCGGCGGCAGCGGTGGGGCGCGAGGCGGCGGCGGTGGGGATCGGAGCACCGGGGGCAGCGGCAGCACCGGCACTGCGCCCACCGCCTCGCCGCGCCGCCTAAGAGCCGGGGAGGGGCCGCGCCGGGAGGGAGGGGGCCGCCCCGGGACCTCCCCCGCCGCCCGCCAGCACCTTTTAGGGACAGACTTCGCCGCAGTCCGCGGCACCGAGGGAGACGGGGGGGTCGGCACCCGGCGGGCAGCCCCGGCACCTGGCACCGAAGGGGCACCGGGAGAGGGGCGTAGCGGTGGCTCTGCGCTGGGGACACCGGGGTCTCTGCGGTGGGGGTGCCGTGGTGGCACGGTGCTGGGGACATCGGTGACAGCACGCTGGGGACGCCGCGAGGGGTCCGATTGAGGGGACACACTGCTGAGGGCACTCCTGGTGGCACTTCCGCGGGAACACTGGCAGCGCTGGGCTTGAGGACACCCCGCTTTTGCCCCTGTGCTGTTATTGTCACCTGGGGACACTGCTTGGTGACTCGCCGATGTCAGTGACCCACCTCTGTCCGCAAAGCTGTCCCTGAACGAGGGGACACCCTGCACTTTGTCACTGTGCCCTGGGGAAGGGGGACCCTGAGGGCTGGCGCTGCTCTTGGGGACACCCACGGCAGTCCTGGGGGTCCTGGGGTGCTGCAATGGCACTCGGACTCCTACAGGCTGTGACCACCTGGGGACACCCCATAGGCCAGCTTTGCTCCCTGGGGCAGAGGGACACTCCATCAGCTCCAAAAGGAGCAGGGGATGCCCAGAACCATCATGATACTGCTGTGCCCCAGGGTCCCCTGTGTTGTTTGTGTCTCTGTGCCTACAGCAGGACACTGTTCTTCTGGCACTGCAGCCCCCCATATAGCCCCATAGCAAGGGTGCCCCACCAGCCTGGCACAGCTGGAGACTGGGGTCATGGCCCTAAGCCAAACTTAGCACCCCACTCCCAGAGCCAGCAGTGGGCACAGGGATGCTCTGTGGAGGTGGCCACAGTGAGATCCCCCTGTGCCACGCAGGCTCCTCCTAGCACAGCCACCCCAGGACCCTCCTCTGCACCGCCCCAGTGTCCTCTGTGAAAGGCCTGGCAGCAAAACACAACGGAAAAATCCTCTGGGACTGGAGAGAGCCAAGCACTGACCCCCCCTTCCCATCCCACTGCTGCGTCACAGCACCAGCACCAGCACTGCCCCACGTTACCACCACTCCAGTGCCATCATCCCCAGCAGGAGGGCACCTCCAATGGGACAGTGTACCAGGGTGACTTGGGGCATGCAGGCTGCCTTGCTCCTTCTTTCTTCTCACAATAAACCTTATTCTATGGGCCAAAAAAAAAAAAAAAAAAAAAGCAAACCCTTCTGATCCCAACTCCTCCAAAAATACCCCATGCTTGAATACCGCTCATAAATGCTTCTGGTGCATTCCCAGCTGCAGGGTGGGTTTGGAGCTGGGGGGGTCAGAGGGGATGGGGTGGGATGGGATGGACAAGGTGAGGGACTGTGTGAGCTCCAAGGCCATCCCTTTGCACCCACATCCAGCAATGGGGTGCACACTTGACTTTTTGGCACAGAGGCACGGTGAAAATGATTGGAGGTGAGAACTGGAGAAAATGGTTTTATAGGAGCAAGACAAGGATGGTTGGCTCTGGGGAAGATGCTTCAGCCCAGAGCAGCCCAGTGAACTCAGAGGTGATGAGTACAACGTGAGCAGCTGGGGGAGCTTCCTATGAGCCCCCCTAGGGATGCAGGTCCCTCTCACTGCACTCTCCATTTTCCGCGTGGCCACATCCTACAGGAACACCTGGTGCCATGCAGGTGCTCCTGTCCATGGCTTTGCCCTCAAAGCTGAACTGCAGGACAAGGGGTTCTGGGGTAGGCACCTTTCTCCAGTATGTTCCTAGGGAAGGGACTTCTTTGGTTGTCATCACTGCCCATTGTTCCCCAATGAGGCAGGCTGCAGGTCGTCTGCCCACCCCAAATTCAGGGCCATGGTGGGACTGCTGGCACCTTATGATTGGCATATCCCGAGCACCATTTGTGCCTGCTGGAACCTGCATGCAAAAATAGCCCCTCCAATCCCAGCTGAAAGATTTATGGGCTCAGGGCTCCAGCCATGCTAAATGCTGCCTTGTGTCCCTCCAACATGTATTTACAGCTGGCACCTGTGTCCCAACCTTTGCCTGAGAGATGTGGCTGAGGGTCCCCACTGCTGCAGCCCACTGCCCCGGGTGGTGGAGCTGGGCTGTGCTTGTGTCTGGTACCTGGTGCTGGGTCAGGCAGTGCAGATTGTCAGGGGACAGCTGGCAGGGCTGAGATTCCTGCGGGAGGCGCAAATCTGCCCTGGAGCTGGGCCATGGAACAGTGTCACGGGGGGCATAGTGGCCCCTCTGCACTTCGACACCCGAAGATGCTGCAGGACACCACAGTGCTGCAGGGAACGGAGACCCCCCCCCCCCCAACAGTCCCATGGCCAGCCCGATGGACACAGCTGAGAACTGCAGAGTTGTGACATGTCATGCAGTGCAGTTCAGCCTCCAGGCTGCTCACTGGTGCTGGCCCTGCAGCATGGGTACTTGGGGTGCAGGGACAGAGGTATCCCCACTGCATCCCACCATATCCCTCGTGTCCCCAAGCTCTGCTGAGTGACGGGACGGGGTGACAGCAGGTGGGGAAGGGGCCGTGCTGGGGCAGCCGGGGTGACTATTTCAGGGCCTGAGCTTAGCCCAGGCAGCCAGAGGGGCTCCAGCCGCATTCCCGGCTGCTGCCTCATTGGGGGGTCGATATATAGGGGGTGCCCCACCTGCACCCCCTCCTACCACTCTGCCTAGGGATATTTTCGGCTGCCTGCAGGAATGGGGCCAGGAGTGCAGAGCCTCAGGGGCAGGTGCTACACTGGAGCTCAGCCGGCCCCCAAATCCCCCTGCAACAAAATCCCCCCCCCTGCCCTGGGCAGCACCTGTGAGGCTGCCAATGGGGGTCTGGGTTGCCGGGTGCTGCTTTGGACATGCCTCAAATAGTTTCCATGCTGTATAAGCACTCGTGCTGCTTTCCCCCTGCAAGGAGGGCTGGCAGCCCCGTGCTGCCCACAGCGGGGTCTGCAGCACTCCTCCCTCCATAAAGCCCTGCTCCTTGGGGGCACCTAAAGTTGGAGGTCCCTGCACTCCCCCACAGACACGTGCTCCAAGCAAGCAGAAAAAACACTTTTATTGATGAAAGCATCTTTCCGAAGAGCCATCCGCATCCACCCACCCCGGAGCGTCGGGGGAGGTGGTTTCCTTCCATGTGTAATATGGGATGCTCAAAGTATCAAAATAGTGAGAAAAGCCTCAGCGAGTGCAAAGGGGAGGGAGGGAGGGAGGTCCCAGAGCCAGGAGGGGTGGGGAGCTGTGGACTCCCGGCCCCAGGGCAGGCACTGGGCTCTGGGGGTTAGTGGGGGCGATGTGAGCGAGGGGATAAATGAACTTGGAAAGCTGCAGGCTCAATACTACAGAAATTTAAAAGTTATAAAAAATACTGAAGATCTCAGAAAACAATGCAGGCACTTGGGAAGGAGAAGGAAGGCAGCGCTGGCTGGGAGGCAACAAGATGGGAACAGCAGCTCCTGGGGAAAAGCCATGGCACCGGCCCCCAAGCGGAGGCACTGAGGAGGTTGCACGGTGCCTCCTGGGAGACTGCTGCTGCGGAGTGTAGGGGCGTTCAGCCAGCAGTAAGGCATAGAGGTGAAGGGAGGCTCTGTGCGAGGCACAAGGGAAGGTGCAGAGATGATCCCCAAACAAGGGCAAGGCACAGGCCTCACCCGCTCCCACCTGGAGGAGGGAGAAGAAAGAAGCAAGAGAGAGGACAAGAAGGCACAAGGAAAGTCCTGAAAGGTGTGAAGGGCCAGGCCTCAGGCAGCAGGGAGCCTCGGGCCCCAGGGGCACCTTGAGCTGCCCCAGGACAGGCTCCCAGCCCGGTGTGCTGCGTGGAGAGGCGGGCTGGGTGGCGAAGCAGCAGCGCAGGTGCTGCACGGTGTCTGGGTTAGTCCTGGTGCACCGGTGCGGGCAGGGCACTGGTCTCCCCGAGGCAGCCCAGTGTTGTTGGAGGTGGGGTGTCTTAAATAGGAGCCGGCGGCAGCAGTCTGTGCAGTGAGTGGCGGGAGGGCTCTGCCTGGGCGCAGCGCAGAGGCGCGGGGCTCAGTTCTGCTCCTCGTCCCGCAGCTCCGTGGGCAGGAACTTGTACTGCTGCTGCCGGATCATGGCCAGCTTCTTACGCGCCTCCTCCAGCTCCCGCTCCTTGCGCAGCATCTCCTCCTGGGCGGCGATGATCTGCAGAGAGCAATGAGATGCTTTGTCCACCTGTGGCAGGGATGGGAGCACATCTTGCTCTGCACCCTCCCATCGCAGCCACAATTACGGCTAAGCACCCTCTGTGGTCGCAATATGCACGGTGCTCACGAGATACAGCCCACAGTGTCCTGCAGACAGGTCCCACATCCAACACACGAAGCTGGGACTTGTGCCATGCCACATAGGGCTGTGCCTGTCCCTTGAACAGCGTTCTACCCTTCACGCACCCCGTGGCACTGGGATGGTGCAGATGTTACACCAAACACATTGGTACATATTTGCTGGCTGTGCCCACTGCTAAACAGAAGGAACAGTATCAAGCTCTGCTGTGTGGGACAGGAGCAACTTCCCAGCTTGCAGTGCTGTTCAGTGACCCATGTTGGCAGACGATAAATATGGCCTTGTAGGCAGCCAGAGCCACCCTGCCCTATGGAAGCAGCCCCACTCCTCACCTGTGCAATTCCTCCCACCATCTTCTCCTTCACCACCACTGTCTCATCATGGTCCTGGAAGGCGGCTGCCTTCTGTGCTGCCTTCACCAGATTGTCCGATGCTCTCTTCACAGCGTTGCCAGCAGCCTGGAGTTGGGGAAAAAAGGGGAGTATTACAGTCAGCCAAGGGTACAACTGCTGCCTTGGGGGGGAACCCCTGTGCCAGATGGGCTTGTGTGCAGAAGAGGCAGCTGGGAGAAGGCGACATGCCGGCAGAGCTTCCTG